CCTATCACAACCACTAATACAACTACTCCTTTCCCTACAAATACTACCACTGCTAGCACTGGTACTGCCTTTCCTATCCCAACCACTAATATAACTACTCCTTTCCCTACAACTACTCCTTTCCCTACAAATACTACCACTGCTAGCACTGGTACTGCCTTTCCTATCACAACCACTAATACAACTACTCCTTTCCTTACAACTACTACCACTGCTAGCACTGGTTCTGCCTTTCCTATCCCAACCACTAATATAACTACTCCTTTCCCTACAAATACTACCACTGCTAGCACTGGTACTGCCTTTCCTATCACAACCACTAATACAACTACTCCTTTCCCTACAAATACTACCACTGATATCACTGGTACTGCCTTTCCTATCACAACCACTAATACAACTACTCCTTTCCCTACAAATATTACCACTGTTAGCACTGGTACTGCCTTTCCTGTCACAACCACTAATACAACCACTCCTTTCCCTACAAATACTACCACTGCTAGCACTGGTACTGCCTTTCCTATCACAACCACTAATACAACTACTCCTTTCCCTACAAATACTACCGCTGTTAGCACTGGTACTGCATTTCCTATCATAACCCCTAATACAACTACTCCTTTCCCTACAAATACTACTAATACTACCACTGGTACTGCTGGTCTTATTACCACTCCTCTTTCCCCAACAGGTACCAATGCTACTAGCACTAATAATACGCTTCCGATTACAACTATTCCTTCTCTTACAAATACTGAGACTGATACTACTAGCATGGATTCAGTTACTACAAATGTTTTAAATACTACCACTGCTAGAAACACAAAAACAACTACAGCTATCACAACAGTTACTTTAATAACAAATGCTACTTCTGAACAAACTACTACAGTGATCATGTCAACTCTACCTCCTACAGGCACCCTTGGTATCACCACCACAGATAATGCACTGACCAGAATCAGTACCACTACTTATCCTCCAGATACCCCTACCCATGCTTTAAGTACCACATCCAGGAGCACTCAAAGCACCACCAATACAAATATTACCAATATGACAACTGGTGTTACTGACATTATAAATACTCCCACTAGAAACAGCTCAGCTACTACTGATACAATAATTACTAGTACTCAAGACATTTCCACTTCCTCACATATGAACATTACAGATATTAAATCTACTACTAAAGTTACTGGAAATGCCATCACAGCGTATACTACCACCATCACTACATCTGTTTTCAGCACAAAAACTGCAAATTCAAACACTACTTCTGACACCATCCTTACAAACACTTACATTCCAAGTACCACAGCTATTCCCACCACCAATACTATGAACACTACAGAGCATTCAGAAAATATTGCTGATGCAGATAACTCCAGGAGTGTTTTTATTCCAAATACTACAGTAGCCTCAGATTCATTAACACCTTTTCTAGATACAGCAACTCACCATCATGTAACAACAAATTCTACAACCAGTTTTTTACCTCTTATTGTAACTAATGCTACCACGGCTATTACGAATGTTACCATTTATGCTTCAAATACTATTATTCCTGATAGAACACCAATGGATGCCTCTACTACTGCATTGTCTTATATTGCAAACACCACAAATACTACTGTAGTTCCCTGATTACTACTCAAAGCAGGTTAACTACTACAGGCATCTCTTTAAAACTATTACAGATATAGAAAATCAATTAATAGGTACATGATTTTATGCTACATAAGTTTTCACAAATATCTGCACTAGCTTTTACAGATATGGCTACTCCAAGCACTGTAGGCATTGAAGGTATATCTCAAGATGTATCCAGTACTTACTTTGTAACTACTTCTTTTGGAACCAGAATATATGCAACTATTTTTAAAATTATAACTCACATAGCCCCATCAATTACACTACAGGTATTTTATGTATTTTACTACAGACTTCACAGATGATTTTGATATCCTTTAAAATACCACATTAAGCTCTATAAATACTGTTGCTTTAGATATAGTCATTGGAATCACCCAACTTGTTCTTGGTTTACAGGACATAATACTATAACTGAGAGCACTGGTGATACCAGAGACTCAAATAACTGCTATAGCAGTAGTTATTAATACTACAGTACATTATTTAATTAGTAATGCTAAAAATCACACTTTATTTTCCTATGGACTTTTCCAAATACCATGGCTACCAATATCGTAATTTGCTATTACACAAACTGGAAGTATTAGTGCTTTTAAATGAATCTTATTTGTAGCTATAAATAGAAAAAATGCTACCATTGTAGACTTTCTAAACACTCTGACTCCAGGAACTGAAATAACTAAATTAGGAATATTATAGGCTACTGTTACTATACTAGAAAATAAGAATATGATCATTGATGTTAAAAACATAACTGCCGAAACTTTGCAACCATTACTTCTATAAGGATTACTGATACTCTTACTACAGATTTGAGAAGTACTTGTATTTATGGACATTAAAAGTACTCCCAGGGAAAAATTAATCTTACTTATGTGATAATCTTACACCCTTGCTGTTACCACTAATGGCTAGACTCACACGGATCTAACTCTTTTATAGATCAGAAATCACCCAGGTGGATTTAAATCTGTAAAGATATGGCATAGAGGGGACAGTTTCTGTCCTGGCATCAGAGTTCATAATCTTATTTGCTTTTTATTTTATTCTCCAGCTTTTATTATTTTACCGTCTAGGCTCTCCTTCAAGGGGTTAGGACTACCAGCATGTTCTCTGTCTTTCATGTCCAAATTCACTATTTATCTTTGATCTATTACTGTGCTTTCTTCTATCACCCAAACTCCCTTGAATAGACTCATGGCTGAGGGCTATTAAAGGATTAACTCTAGTACAGTATTTTCAAAATGTAGTTTGGGGACCCATGGAAGCCCCCAAAACTCTTCCTGAGGTGCACAAGGTCACATCTATTTCATAATATTGTATTTGTTAGGTGCCTTTTTCACTTTCATTAGTATACAATGGCATTTTATAGAGATTCTATGCTGTGTGCTGTCACCATAGATGAATACAGAGACAGATACAAGAATCTAGTTCTCTTCTGTTCAACCAGGTACTAAACATATCTACAAAATATAAAATCATGTCATTCTTTTCACTCACTTTTTTGTTTTGGAAAATATAGTTGTTTTTCATAAAACATATTATTTATGTTAACATAGAGTTGATATATTGTTATTTTGAAAGAATGAAGAAAATAAATATTTTACAAAATATTGTACAAATGAGTCCCTTTTAATTTATAGTGCAGTAAATATGAATAGATATAACCCACCTAAACAAAGCATGGGGTCTTCATTAAACTCGAATGTAAAGGGGTCCTAAGACCAGAGTTTGAGAATCACTTCCCTAAGGCAACAATATCCTAGTTTCACTCTCAGTTCCTGGTTACATATACTACGAACTTTCCCAGCATGTAGGAACCCCAGCACATGTGGCTTAAGGTTCTTATGACACACAGATGTCTACCAACTACTGTGAACACATTTCCACAGCGTTCTGACCTACTTCCATGGCTGTGCTATTGTCTGGATGGCTTGGTGTGTTCCACATGAGGGGCACAGATCAGCAGTTAGTTTCACTTCCCTTTTGGAATCTACCCACAAATGACAGTCCTCTTGAAAAAATTGATAGACCCTACACCAGAGAATGCACAGCCCAATGCTTATAGAATGGATGGTTTGTGCAATAATTTTTTTTACTACCATCTCCCAAGTTTTAAAACCAGATGTTTGACAAGGATTTGGGATCTTAATGGGTTTGTGGCAGGGAATGTGGAAAGGATTCATTGCTAATGTTTTCTCTAGCAATAAAGTAAACAACTAAATGCTATAAGAAGCCAGCATTTGAGCTCTCAAACACACATGTATACAACACAATGCAGAAATACCCAGGACTCCTCCTGCAGGCTAATGGATGGCAACCTACTGAAACAAAACGGGTATTAACAAGAAAATGTAAAACTCAAGCTAGCAAATTTCCTTTTATTTACCACCCAAGTAAAAGAAATGGAAGATGAAACCATCACCAAAACCAACCTTTTTTTTCCAAACAAGTATAATGATAGTGCTGGGTTAGCAGTTCACTCTTTTATCCTACAAAACCCAAGAACCTCCTTCCTGTCCTGCAGATCTCCAGCCTCGGCAGCCTGAGATCTGTTTCTATATGAGGCTACTTGATAATGTAAATAAGCACCTTTAAAACCTATCAGCTCAAGCTAGTAAAACCTGTACTTCTATATTGCGCCGCCATTAAAAGCAGCATTAGTGCAAAAAAACCCAAAAAAACCCATAGTTCTGTAGTTATTGAAATTCAATCCTTTGTGTATATAACTCGACAATGATTAAAGCATGGGGTTTTGAAAAGTAAGTACTCCTGAAAAAAGAAAAGAACAACAAAACAGAACAAAGAAAAGCTGGACTTAACTTCAGATGTTTGAAGACACTTGAGGGTTGAAACGTGAAGTCTATGCACAAGGTGTGGTCCTGGAACCAGGCAGAAAATGTGGAGAGGGAAGATATAGAATCAAGTATTGGCTGCTCTGACTCCTGAGCTATGCTGGCTCTTGGGCTGCCATCAGACCCTAACACAGGCAGGTGACTCCATGGGACCAGTTCTGAGAGTATCACCTGCTACCAGGTTGGCGCAGGGACTATTACTTCAGGTGGATACCCCTTTCCTCCCCTTTCCTTGTCTCAGTTTGCTCAGCTGTAGGATGGAGTAAACACTGGAGCTGCAATGTTCATGGAAATGCATTTTCAGTCTGTAAAGGTCCCTGCAAGGTTTATTATGACTATTACGTAATCCCCCAAAGTGTTCTTATGTCTATTTAAACTTTTTCCTTCTTCTTCTCCGAGGCTTTCCTGATAGCAAAGCAGATTCTCCTTAGTGCTGGTCCTTTATAACAAGGCTGCTGTGAGCCCCTGGTTTCCAAACAAGTTTTGTAAAAGAAAACTGCTCTTTGGAGATGACTGTAGTGTCTCAAACTGTGATTTTGGGGAAAAGGTTGTTTTTGTTTTGAGCTGGAAAAAAATGTTTCCCTGCTAAATGAAATAGTGCCCATCTTTCCTCATTATACAAAGGAATTAAGTTAATGGAAATTTATATTTTTCTCTTTTTAAAAATTTGTCTTTATTGTTGAAAGTATTATAGATGTCCCCTTTCCCCCCATTCGCCCCCTCCACCCTTCCCCCATACCCTATGGTATTTTTCCTAAGCTTTTTATACTTGCTGCTATTCATATGTTGCCTTCTAGAGAGCTCCATTGAGGACAAAATGTATAAACAAATAACAGAGAATAAAATTTGTGAAATAGCCAATAGAGTTCATATGGAGTGTGTGTGTGTGTGTGTGTGTGTGTGTGTGTGTGTGTGTTCATGCACATTATGTTATATGGCAAACATATTTTCTGCCAGAAAAATTTCCTGTGGTTTGTGTGATGAAATTAAACTTATCAGTGTTTCATAATTTTCTTCAAAAAGCACTACTAGTTGATGGTGATTCACTGAATGAATGTGAGCATTATTGCTTAGTGAGTCCTTGGTTTAGTCTTGCCCCTGAGTGAGGCATTGAGTTTCACAGTATTCTCCCAAAGGTGACTGGTGTCCACCTGCTCTGGGGCGTGGCTAGTTGTTTCTCAGTTTATCTGCCTGTGGTTATGCTTCTGTTCACTTACATTTTGTCTAAATAGGGTATAAATATTGACATACACACACGTGTTACAATCACAACATGGTGAAGAGGTTGTGAGGCGGGGTGGGTTAGCACTATGTTGGGAGGAGCCAACAGCAGGTGTTTTGTGGCTGGAGGCTTTTTGATGACACTTGATGATGGAAAATCCTCAGAGAAGTTGACCTCAACCCAGGCAGGGTTGCTTATTTGAGCACAAGATGCCTGAAGATCTTTGAGAAACTATCCAGGCTAGAAGTTGTATCATATGATAATTACCAAGAGTAAATCAAGGTATACTAATTTCAAATTAGACTGTAGGTTATAGTTTCTGGCAAGTTATAATTGATGATCATAACAAGTCCTACAACCTTCATGAAGATTTATATTTCTAATTCCAGCTTTATTTAGAGAAATAATCGAAGATAAATTGGTAATATAGATGACAGACAGTGTTATGGATGCAACACAAGTTTACTTCCAAATATATGCCCAGAAAAAAAGTGCAACTGAATTAAAACAGACTTTAGAGCCTATGTAGCTTTAAATTTCCAAATCATAAAAGAATTTTCCTTTAAGCCATATCTTTCTAATCTTCATCAGCACCCATATGCTTCTCCATAAGCTTACCCATTGAATTCTTGGGCAGAATTAATTTTAAAACATTTTTTGATATGGAGATAACTTTTGACTTCTCAGATGTCTACTCATAAGCTTAAACTTCTCATCTTAAACCATCTTTCTGCTAGCCTTTCACTTTTTCAATGGTGGCTACTATTTTCCTACTAATTATCTTGATTAAAGTTCCCTATTTCTCAAACATCCCTCTCATGACCTCTAGTTAAAAAATTTAAAACAGATTTGTTGACTTCTATTAAATGTAGATAATTAAATAAAATAGTTATTTAAATAATTTTCTATAGAAA